TATTCCTTTTTTGCCATTGCAACGAGCACTGAGATGCTGCGGGGAATTGGCAGAAGGACCCATGTAAAACAGGCCTCATCATCCCAGCAGGATGGAGTCTGGAACTGGGAGTGGGAGTGAGGCTACCCAGGCTGTGCCCAGCCACTGAGGGCTGCTGTTGCCCAGGGACCAAACCAGAGTGGATGGGACCGTGATGGATCTGGCTTTGAGGATGCATCTGTAAAATTTACTAAGGCTGAGGTCAGTCTCAGGGAAAAGACTGTCCTTCCTACAGAAAAGCTTTATGGAACATGCACTGAGCCCAGATTACAAGCAAGGGTTTCACTTTCACCTGTTGATGAAGTAAGTCTAAATCCTCCCTTACCCTCACAGGTCACTGTGAAATAGTTTACAAATCAGCTTGGACAACTGAAGCAAAAAGCCTTACAGAGTGAGCTTCAGACTTGGAAGGTTTGGTTTGAAACAAATCAGCTGATTTATAAATATATTTGTAAACCAGTAAGTACAAAACAAAAAAAAAAAAAAAAAAACAGGGTCTCTGCATCAGAACAAAGCAAAAAAGTCAGCAGCACTTTTCTTCCAAGAGTGACAAACTTAATTAGGCTCAAGCATGTGCTCCTTGGATGCTCTGAGCCCTTTACACTGTGAGGAGAGTTCAAATTGCAGGTTTTCCCTGGTCAAGCTCAGACCAATGATGCTCACAGTCTGCCTCAGCTTTGGACACATTTTGTACCGTATTTCATGGTTGTCCCTGGCCATCTTGTTGGTGATGGCAAATGTGAAAATAACCCCTGGTTTCATAGTTAAAAGCAGCAGACACTGTCTCTGTGAGAGGAATACTGTCCTGTATTTTCTATTGAAATGTGCTTTTCTAATGTCATTCCCTGCTGGCTTTTTTGAACAAAATTAGCAAATATTTTATCTCCCTTTTTCTTATGAAAACCACTTGGAGAGTCATGGCAAGGCATCTCCAGGCAGCAAGTCCAGTTCTTCTCACAGTTGTTTTGAAACAATACACATCTAGAAATGTCTCTGGAGGCCCTTCTCCTCACCAGCTCCCCCAGAGCTCCTGCAGATGTAGAGATGGCTTTTTACAGCTTTGTTTCCCAGAGATCTCCAAACAGATGAAGATAAGTGCTTTTTCCCCTCCAAGGACATGCTCTCTCTCAAGCCCAAGAAGCTTGACAGGACTGCAATTACTTCCCTTGCAGATGATTGACTCTAGAGATATTAGGTTGAGGGGACAACCTTCTCTGCAGCATTCATGTTGTAGGTTTACATTCAACATTTTAATACCCTGACATTTATTTCCATTTGGTCCCACACCCCAGTTTCACGTCTAACTTAGTGTGGACAAAAGTGAGCCTCAGATCAGGGTGAAGGAAGCTCTCTCTAGATAAGATGTGATGATAATAGTGGATGGATGAGATGGAGAGCAGTGATGGGAGTGTAAAAGATGACAGGAACAAGAAGAGTGAGAAAGCCCATTAACTTTTCAAAGTGAGAATTAAAGACCAACATTGCATTTTCAGCTCTTAGAAGATGATACAGTAACTGTAAGATCAGCCTTGCTTCTGCCTGTGCCAGGGCATTCCTGTGGCATGAAAATCTCACTACTCCCCTCCTTGCCTGCCCGTGAGCACAATATAATTGAACCTAGAATGCTTCATTTTACAGGCAGAAGAATAAGAACTCATTCTTTAAAGATGCAGAGAGAAGGAGAGAGAGAGAGATGCATAATTACCACATATGCCTCATATGCATTTACATGTACGAGCATATGCTCTGAAAATGTAAACCTTCATTAAAGGAAAAATTGAAGATGACAAATTTGTAACGGAAGATTTAAAAAACAAGTAAGGTGAAAGATTAATTCAATAGTCTGTTCACACTTAATTAGAAAATAGGATGCTATGGTGAGTTCTGCTAATTTTTCCAATGCCACTTGGATGCGCTGCAAATAAAAAATCTTACAGTGGCAAAATAAATCACTGTGTTACAAACAGCCCTCATCTGCAATTGAAATCATTCTATTTACCCTGGAGACACATACCTATGAAAAATTTAGGAGGTCATCAATCACAGTGTCTCTTTCCAATGTTTATAAAGTTGTATCTTTGGATAAGAACATTTCCAGTCTTCTTGTAATGATCAAAATCAGAGCTGAGGTCTGGTATATGTACAGAGAGGATCACTGTGCTCAGGTAGACTGCATCTCACCCCTAATTTTTGAAGTAACATAAAATAACTCTTCTGGGGCTGTCTCTGTTACTTGAGTGTCTCTGGTAAAGTGATGAAAAGACACCTCAATGTACACAATAATTAGGCTCTAGGTTTAAATATACAGTGTGCAATTGTATAGCACAAGAGCACTGAAGAACAATGACAGATGCATTCATTTAGCTCATCAAATGCTCTGAAATTGTGCATACTAAAAAAATTCAAATCTGTATTCTGCACAAAATCTTACACAGGCATATGCAATTTGATGTTTTCCCATCACACATCAGCTGTTTGTTAATGGTATATGAATCACCAGGTAACAGGACAGCAGCCAGTGTAGCTTATCATTCAATGATCAGGCTTTTTACTGGAAACCAAAACATCATCATAAAATTCAAATAAACATTTCACAAGGGTCATCACACAGGAGGTATCACATTAAGCCTACTGAAAAACCAATTCTCTGAGGTGTGTTTCACAGGCAATTGCTCCCAAATAGTTTTCCATTAGTGTTGAGATTCAAGCCACAACAAGTGCCTTTAGTCCAGTTCCTAATCCTTATTAAGGAAATGTCCGGATAAGGATTCTGAAGGCAGCTTTCTGTGTCACTTCCACAGGAAATGTTGACCCTTATTTGGGTCATTTGGATCTAATGATCTCTTGATTCATGACCAAAAATCTTTACTCTGGTTGTTAGAAATCACATGCTCTAACCCTAACAGAGGAGTGGGGTCTGTGCCCTGGGCATGGGGAGAGAAGGAATATTCACCCAAGACACCTTGTAGCTGCCTTTGAGAACACATATTTATTCACAAGGTTACTCACAGATATAAAGCTGCTAATATCATGTGTGAAGAAGAGGCAGCTTTGGTATCTATGAGAACCTTGTGAATAAATATGTGAAACAAGGGGGGTTTGTGCCCAAAGGCATTTTACCATGCTCTAGTACATCACTAGGATAGGGACTGGGCAGCACAAAGGCAGGAGCTTCAGCTTGTTTCCTTATTTGAGCCTTCTATGTCCTTTTCACATGAAAAAAATGAACTCAAAATCTTCCTAGGAATCAGTTTTGCTCATTAGCCATGAAATCTGCTCACTTTCTGAAAAGTTCATAGTGCAATGTCTGGCTATTGCAGGTCAAAGAAAGATTAAACAGCCAATTTATTTTAAAATTGAGAAAGAGAAAGTGAACTTGATCTATTAATAAGTTTTTCACTTCCACCCAAACTATTAGATAAGCCTGAGATAAAGTACTTGAATTCATTAAAGTCTGAAGACTGGAAAGGACCCCTTTTTAATTTTTTCTTCTCTTGCTCCCTCAAAAAATAAAATCACTGTAATTTCAAAGGTCAAGTTATGGTTACATCCATTTTGGTAAAATGTTGAATTAGCGAATTAGAAGAGATAGGATATTTCAGTTCAAATTTGTACTTTCCAAGTGATAGAAATTGACTTCATAGAAAGTTGGGAGTTCTCAGGATTTCTGAGAGACACGAGGAATATTTGCAGGATTGGCAAGCCTGGTTTGGTGTATCTGATGGTGCTCTGTTGGCACTATAGTAAACAGAAACAAAATAATAAACAAAACCACAAGAAAACAGTTTTTCTTCAAGCGACTTCAAAATTCACACACCAAAGGGAACGCTGCAAAGGTGCGGCATGAAAATCTGATGGTTTGGGTTTCTAGAGTTGATAAATACTGTGGTTTCTGCCAGCTTGTTGAGAGTCAGAATGAGGAGCATTCTTACCACCCGTGCTCAAGCCCTCAGCAGAGGTGCCCAATGCAGGTGCTAGGGCTGCATGAAATCCCTTCTCCAAATCGTTCTTTCTCAACCACACCCTCAAGCAACCCATGTTGACAAGAGTGACCCTTAGCTGACTGGGTCACAATCTTATTTAACTGCAATCTTATAGACAAATCTGTCACAGGGGAAGGACGCCGGCAGGGATGTGCTGCTGCAGACTATGGCTCAGTACTCTCTCCAGTACAGGGTTCGCCTTTTCCCGCAGCCAGCCCAGCGGTGCCGGCCTGCTGCCCGGCCATGGCAGCCTCCGAGCAGGCACACACACCCCGGACCTGGCGGTGGCAGCCTCTGAGCAGGCACACACCTCCCAGACCTGGCGGTGGCAGCCCCTGAGCAGGCACACACCCCCCAGACCTGGGGTGTCCGCACCCACCCTGTCTGGCCCTGCTCAGCTTCGTGCATCCCTCACTTTTAGTCCCGGTGGGCTGGGGGATACCTGAGCACGGGGGAGACAGGGCCGGGGGCAGGAAGCGGCCCGGGCACGGAGGCTGCCCCTCTGCCTGGCCGCCGGGGCTCGCTGCCCGCTGCTCTCCCTGCCGGCAGTGCCGCTCGCAGCGGAGAGCATCTCTCCGTGCCCTGGGGGAGCGGGACAGAGAGGCAGAGGCGACAAGAGGCGTCTGCACCCTTACATCCGCATCCCGCATCCCTCATCCAGATCCACACCCTCACCGCGCGTCCGCCGCCGGGACGCGCCTTGGCCGCGGACGGTGCGGGGCGGCCCCGAGGGCGCGGAGCTGCGGGGAGGGAGCGGCGGAGCTGCGACGGGAGCCGCCCGCTCCGCTGGCCCCGGGCAGCGACGGTGGCCGCCCGCTCCGCTCCGCTGGCCCCGGGCAGAGCCGAGAGGCGCCGCCGGAGCTGGGGGCGGGGGCTGCTCGCCGGGGCGGGGGCTGTGACGGGGCTGGGACAATAAAACCGGGGGTAATTGCATTTAGGCAAATGAGGCTGTCCCGGCCCTCCCCATCTCCCGGCATATAAAGTGGGGAGCGCGCCCAGGGCCGGCCAATGCGCTTGGAGAGCAGCGCTCGCCCTACCCGCTGCAGACGGTGTGTGCGCTGCGGGAGCCCGGCCGGCCGCGCCTGTGGGCGGGGGGTGCGCTTGTCCTGTGGCTGTGTCTGTGTGTGTGTGTGTCTGTGTGTGTGTGTGTCTGTGTGTGTGTGTGTCTTGCTTTGTCCCGGTCCGTATGTGGCTGCCTCTCTGGGGGATGTCTACTCGTGCCTGTGTGTCCGCACGTGCGAGCCTGGATGTGCCAGCATGTTTTTGTGCCCGTCCTTATGTGTCTGGGTGTGCAAAGGGATGAGTGTGCACCTCTGGACACATGTGTCTCTGTGTTTGTGTGTGTGGACAGCTACGTTCCTCCGTGGGTGTGAGCATTTAAGGTGTGTAGCTCTTTGAGTTCGTGAGTGGATGCATGTGTACCTGGATGTGTGTATGAGGGGGATGCATCTGTCTGCGTGTGAGTATTTGGGAAAGTGCAAATCCTAGATGTGCACAGACGTGTGAGGGTGTATTTAAATCTTCCTCCGTACGTGCGTGTGTGAAGGGGCACCGCTGGCTGTGTGTGTCTGTGTGTCTGTCCGTGTGCTGGGGAACACACCGAGCTGCGTGCCGCTGTAGTTGGTGTGGGGTGTGTGTCTCTCCAGAGGGCTCTGCAGCAGTCGGGGAGGGGGTGCCGGTGTAACTGGGCAGTGTGGGGCTGTCCGTGCGAGGGAGTGTGTCCGCAGTGTGCCCGGGGGCTGTGTGTCCGGGCGGGCAGGGCTGTGTGTCCGGGCGGGCAGGGCTGTGCGCTGTGCCTGCCTGCGGCTGCCACGGCTCCAACCTCTGCCCCCGCAGGACGTCCCGGCGGCGATGAGGCTCCCGCTGGCTTTCGCCGTGCTCCTCCTGGCCTCGTCACAGGCGCTGGGCGAGGAAATGGGAGCCACCGACGACCTCAGCTACTGGTCCGACTGGTCCGACAGTGACCAGGGGAAGGTGAGCCCCGGCGGCCCCGCGGGGTGGGGAGCGAGGGGTTCGGAGCCGGGGGCTCTGTGCCGGGAGGGGTTCGGAGCCGGGGGCTCTGTGCCGGGGACTCCGTGCCGGGAGGGTTCGGAGCCGGGGGCTCTGTGCCGGGCTCTGCCCCGCCGGGACCGAAGGGGGGGTCCGCACTGAGCGCCGCCGCTGTCGCCCCGCAGGAGGAGCTGCCGCTGCCCCTGGAGCACTTCCTGCAGAGGATGGCCCGCAGACCCCGGCCCCAGCAGTTCTTCGGCCTCATGGGCAAGCGGGATGCCGGTGAGCGGGGCGGGGGCTGCTCACGCCTCTCCGCACAGCTCTTGTCCCCGTTCCTGTCGCAATCTTACACGGTTATCGCTCGGGAATATGTGTTACATCTGTAACACATAATTTCTTGGGCTGCCATGAGGGTACTTTGGGTTTAGGCTTTTTTGCTGTGTTGTTTCTTTCAAGTTTTGTATGAGATAAGAGTTTAAAGCCCTCTCTTTTCCAATCAGCGAGTTTAAGTGTGTACCGGTTACAGCCCGTAAATCCCAGTAAGGGATAGCATGATAATTCATAGGTCAGCATACTTGCCATCACCAAAGTGAAACTGGAAACTGGTTGAGTATACAATTATTGTCATGTTTTCTACACGTTTACCCAACCAAGAATTGATCTAAGAAATTGGAGCTAAACTAATCTAAATTGTGTGGGTTAAACTGAAACAAGCTTTTAGTCTCTTCAAAGAGAAATGCAGTTGTAAACCATCACTCTAATTCCCTTAAGTGGAATATGCGTAGGTTAGTTTTTGTATCTGATTTTTTGAAGCACTGCAATAGCATCATATGTATATGCCAATCCTTTTTTAACAACTCTTTTTGTCTTTTTTCTCTTTCCTTTCCTCTTCCAATCAGGATATGGCCAGATCTCTCACAAAAGTAAGTTTAAAAAACACAAATATTTTAAGAATCATTAGAAGACATTCAAATAGAGAATAGTGTATTTGACAGGATTATTTAGAAGGTGACTGGTTTCAGCCAGGGACTGGCAGCACCACTGGTGGAGAAATGATCTATTAAAGAATTGAAACCTCCCCTTCTGCGCCACTGTGAGCCTGTATCTCATCTGAGCTGCTGCAAGCTTGAGATTTCAATCCATATTAATGTGCGGATGTTGCAGCTCTCTCTTATTTCCCAAGGGGGGATTTTGTAAGCCTTTCTCATTGGCAAGGCAGGCTTACTGCCAGACTCTGAGAGGAGCAATTAAGATGGCAAAATCTGGAAGATTAGAATAATGAATTCCCAGGTCCCCAAGAATGCTTTCATGGGAGCACCCAGTCCTCACATGCGAGATGCTGCATCTGTGCCCTCAGCATTGTCTGGGAATCAGGAGGGGCTGAGTGATGATGTGCTGCCATGTGAAGAGCCATATCTTGCCCCACTAGTAAGTGTGCCTTGCTCTGCTTCTGTGTAACACCCAGCAGGAGATGCTATCAGCACTGGGGTGTTACCTTGCTCTGCACAGTGGTAATTTTATTTTCTGAAATTATCTCACCATGTTTAAAGAGAAACTGGAAGATTTTTATTAAGTAAATATTATCTTACATCCTGTGAAACCTCCTCTGTCCACAGAGGCCGGCAACTCTCCCAGTGTTCTATTATTCACAAGATGCTTTCTCTGGGGTTATGCATTGGAAGACCAAATAAAGAGTCTGATACAAAGCTCATGCCAAATTACCGTCTGACTAAAGTAAAAAAATTACAATTTTCTGAAACTGCTTCAGCTTGAATTAATACACGAGGTCTGAGTATCTTGCTTTGTATATGAACTCACCAAGCAAAATTCTTTCCAAAGAGAAACGTCTAGGTTTGACTCCAAAGCCGCTTTAGATAAAGCAGAACAGTTAATTTTCATTCCTTGTCTGAAACTATAGCTACTACTATAACCTGATATGTACTGTAGGCCTAAACTTGGAGTAATTTATCCTCTACACTTCCAGTGTCTTGAGAATTACTAAAGGGACGGGAAGGTAATACCTGAACTTATAAATATTCCAAAAATAGAGCCAGACTGTCCAGCTCAGACATGTCCAGACACAGAGTCCCATTGGCTTCTTCTCCAGTAAGGGCTCCCTCCACCTGACCTGTGAGGGAGGATTTTCTTCCACCTTACAGAAATAAAACAACAACAGGTAGAAGAGATGCACCACACAGACACAGGCTATACCAAGACACTGCCTTCTTGTGCATTTGCTCAGATCAGTAGGAATCATAATGGGAGAGAAATAAGATTTGTACTGTTAGTGGCCATTGGTTTTCTGTTATACTTAAAAAAACCCCAAAACCAAAGGTCTATCTAACCTAATGAGAAGATGTCCACTAACTGGCCTGTGCCTTGGTCTATCCTGTTCAGTCTGATAGTCAGACTGCTGTTCATTCTCTGTTGTCTGAGAGTGATGTGAACCACTGGTCTGTGATATAAACAGTTTCAGACCCTGTCTTCTTTCCTTTCAAGAACCTGTTATTTTAAAAGCCTGCCTAGTTAAAATGTATTAAAATACCCCTAAATATATTTTTTCAGGGCATAAAACAGACTCCTTTGTTGGACTTATGGGCAAAAGATCTTTAAATTCTGGTATGTATTTGACTAAATCTGATACTTGGTGATATTCAGCCTCTTCATTCCGTTGCCTCTTTGTTCTCTCCCAGCGGATGGAAGAAGCAGTTTTCATGCAGTGTAGATCCAGAATTCTCTGTAAAAGAATCAGGATTTTCTTTGTTACCCAAGATATTTCAGTGTTCACTTCAATGTTTGAAATGACCAGGCTAGTCTGAGCTGCTGGCAACTCAGGTAGAATTCCCCAGAGCACTTTCGTTACTGTCCTGTCCTTGCATGTCCTGCTAGTCCCCAAAGTGCTATTAAAACAAAACCCCCTAAATTTTAATGATGTATCAAGAAAAATGTGGAGGCTGAAAATGCAAGGGTCACTTAACTTGAGGTCTAAATCCAGATCTCACCAGGTAAAAGGATATCTTCTCTGGAGACTCTTTTTCCTAATACTTGGAGTAGAAGGTGAAAGAACAGAACTTTGCCATTAACACCACCTCATTCTGCAGAACAGGCTGTTAAACATTCACAGTCTCTTTCAGCTTTTGACTTCACCTAAAGCATTTTAAACTCTGAATGGGTACTGTGAATTTGTTTTTTTCCCCATAGCATCCATATGGGCCAGAATTCTCCTCTCCCCTCCTGTGCAGAACCCGGAGTCTCCCCATAGCTCTACCTTCCTTCCCTGTGCTCTAGGGCTGTACTAAGGAAATCCCTCACTGTGAGCTATAAAGTATCAGTTGATTCTCCAGGATAAGAATTAAAAAAATAAAAAACTAATATGTATTTCATGTCTCTGAAATAGTTCTCACTGTTTTGTTAAATGGATGATAAAAGTTAAATTACTAGCTGACACCTTTACATTATGTGGATACATGCTGTGATCTATATTCTGCAATTATGGCTGTCAGTAACTTTTATTTTCAATTAAACCCCCTTCAAGACTAGTAATATTGCTCTCTGCATTATTTTGCAAATTGCTACATATCATGAATAATTTTGTACAATTTTCTGCAGTGGCAATAGCTATTAAATGCATAATACCTGTAAATATATCTGCTATCACAAAAGTAAATAGCCTGTAAGTAATAAATTTGGTTTGGTTTCCACTGGGATTACATTTACATTAATATGAGAATGTAAAATACAGAAAATGTTTTAAAAAATGCAAAGATGTTATTGCCCTAATTTCAAAATTGCTGGTATAGTCAGGATCCTGTTATGTGGTATTTCTGACAAAAGGGAATAATGATGTTTTACTCTGCTGGGCTATGTAACACCTGTCTGACAGGTAAAACTAGAATTCACAGCTTTTCTGCCTCTGCAGGGAGGCTTGAGGGGGAAATGATAAGAAGCTTTTTTTTGCTGCACCAGAGGAGAAGATGGGTCCTAAGGACTGTGTAATCAAAGCAAGATCAGGAATAGTGAGTTCTAGGACTACCCTCACTTCTCCCTTTTGGGAGATATTTAACTGGGCAGGACCTTTACCCCATGCTGTGATTCTGTTCTGCAGGAAGCCCCTGAGCTCCCTGGTAGTGGGCAGGAGCTGGTGCTGTCCCCCTGGGTGTGAGCACGTTGCTGATTTACAGCTTCAGGTGCCAGAGCAGGGTGAGGGGATGCTGATGTCTCTGTCCCTGGTTTGGGGACAGCCTTGCTCAAGAAAGGCTCTCTGGATTTCACTCTCATTTTAAATGAGAAAGAAGGAGAGATCTACCACTACTAAATGTAAAATACGTTGCTTAAGACTATTTTAGCCTGCAGCTTGTCAGCATGGTAGTCTGAGAAGCTTGAGGAGCTTGGCTCGTGCCACAGTGTACAGTAAAATTATCCCTGTGTGCAGGGCTTGTGGACAGGGAGAGTTTCCAAGAGCTGGAAAAGAGCTGACTGCACAGGAATGAAGGTGGATATGTGTGTGCAGAGCCCCTCTGCCACAAATTGACCTGAATGCTTAGATCCTATCAGTTAGATGAATCACTGGGAGGTAAAGGGGCTTTGAGTTAATGGTGCTTCAAGCAGCTCAGCAGATGAGAGCTGGAAAACACTGCTCAGCCCTTCAGCCTTCTGGAGGACAGTGTGGTCTGAGAGGTAAAACCAAACCAAAGCAGCTCAGGGATGGGCCAGGAGCCCTGGTCTCTGCTCCAAACATGCCACTGGTGCCTGGTTGTGCCAGCTGGCTGCAGGTCTCTGACACTTTGTGTGCTTGCTGGTGCTCATGCAAGGCTGTACCTTGTGCTTCAATGTGCTTCGTTTTTTGCAGGGTCCTCTGAAGGGAGCATAGCACAGAACTACGAACGGAGGCGTAAATGAGACATTCCCGTGCATTATTTATTAAACTTCATTTGTTCTAATGGCCAATGCAGTGTAATATAAACTAACCACTGTATGAAATAATTATTTATTTAATAACTGAAGGGGTTTGGTTTTTTTCGAGTTGTACATTCAATAAAAGTATTATTTTTCATATTGTGGCAGCGACACGTGTTGTGTAGGTGTGTTGTGGTTCTGAGAGGACCAGCAACCCTGGTGATGTCTCACAACAAAGCACATGTTTGATATGACCTGTAGAGTTATGTTTACTAAACAAGCAAGTATTCTTTTGTTCATTGAAAGCGAGTCTATCAGCTTCACTGCTAGTGCAGAACAGAACTGATGTCCAGTCTAGTGCCTCAATTTGTTTTCATGGTTTATTATGTACTGTAATTTCTGTATCAAAAAATATATTTGTATCATTGCAGCATGTTTTATGTTCTGTGATTATGCATCAATATATTTTAAAAGGGGGGATGGGTAATGTTTGAATGGGAATCCAAAGTCTTCATTTCATAGTCTGGAATTTTATGATAGTAACATTTTAAATAAAAACTACTCTGGGGCTTTTGCAACATACTTCCTTTGGTGATAGTGATGGAGTTATTTCCCACGTTGGTCTGGAATAAGAAATAGCAACAGTGGTCTGAGACTGGAAAGAAAGATCAAATTAGTTTCTTTTTGCAGGGAAGCTGTGAACCTCCTCATGTGTGTTTTGGTGAAGGTTTGAGGGATTTGCTACTGGAGATAGGAGTTCCTGGGATTGCTCCAGGTCACACAAGGTGCCACCCCTTCTAAACCTGATGGAAATCAGGAAGCATGTTTACTGAATGGAAAGAGCAGGATGTATCCCCCCCCCCAGCTCAAATAATTTGGTGTGGAATTAATCCAGCATTGTAGGTTTATTATTTGAAAGCCAAGCTCTTAATAAGTTCTATCCCTCAGATTCACAGTAAAAGCCCCTGTGGGTGTGAATCCATGCAATATAAAAGAAAAAATATGTGACTGTAATTATCTTTTTAATTAAAATGTCTGATTGCTATATATCCAGGATAGGCCTGAAATGCTACATCCATCTCAGCAGATGCCAAGGCATCTGGAGTTCTATCACCTTTCCCCCTGCTATGAGCTATACTTCTCTGATGCTATGATGCAAACTTTCATTGCAGATGAATCACAAATAAAACAGCCAGTGTATAAAAAACTAAATTTAAAACTAAGTAATATGAAAGGATTCACTGCTTGTTGTTTTCCACTTTGGAAATGAACTCGTACACCTCCATTTTCAAGGTTACCTGAGGCATCATCACAACTACCCCCATTAGGAGCAGATGGGTGCTGGACCTCACTCCTCTGGGTTAGAAGCAGCACCTAAGCCTGCCCATGCTTAAAGCAGATCCCACTTTCAGCTAGCTAGAAGCCAGATCTAGCAAGGTGGGGGCTACACGGTGGGAAAACTGAGGTGGCTTGTGGCAGGGACCACACTGATGTGAGATACAGTGGTTGTACTGGCACTCTGACAGCTCTTTGTCTTTCCAGGGCTAATTTTCAGGCTGATAAACTTCTGTATGAACTCTCACTGAGCTCAGTGAGGAGGAGAAGCTGACTGCTGGGCTAGCAGCACAGCAAAAGACTGTGGAAATCATGTTGAATAATGCTTGGTGAAGGGTAGAAAGAAAGAAAAACTTTAAAATGCTGTTACCCTTGCCTGGAGGACCCTGGTGCTCACAAGAGCTCACAGTGTGTGGGGGCTGAATTTTGAGACAGAGAGGAAAGAAAAAGCCCCACCATTCACTCCCTGCAGCCTGCACATCTCAAAAACCTCCCTGCAGGAGTAACTCACTGCAAAGCCCACAAATATTCATGGGCTTTAAGTGTTTGAAAGACAGCACAGGTACTAAATAACAACATCCATTAAACAGATTGGACTGAATTTTCTAGAAAAAACAGAATGGGTTGAGTTGGAAGGCACCTTTAGAGATCATCTAGTCCAACCCCCTGCCACAGACAAGGACACCATTCACTAGACCAGTTTGCTCAGAGTTGAAACCTAATTGACACTGAATGCTTCCAGGAGTGGGGTATCCACAATTTCTCTGGGCAACGTGTTGCAGAGTCTCACCACCCTCATTGTAAAGAATTCCTTCCTTAAAACCAGTCTAACACTACCCTCTTTCAATTTAAATATCTGACCAAATTCATGCCCACCCTCTGCAGTTGCTCCAACAGGTCCATGTTCTCCCTGTGCTGGGGAACCCAGAGCTGGATGCAGCACTCCAGGTGGGGTCTCACCAGAGCAGAGCAGGACAGGATCACCTCCCTCTCCCTGCAGCCTGCCCTGCTTTTGGTGCAGCCCAGGATGGGGTTGTCTCTCTGGGCTGCAAGCTGGGTCATGTTGAGCTGCTCTTCCACAAAGAGCCCCAAGTCCTTTTCCTAGGGCTGCTCTCAGTCCATTCCCTGCCCAGCCTTATTTGTTCTTGGGATTGCCCTGACCCAGGTGTGGGAGCTTCCACTTGGCCTTGCTGAACCTCATGAAATTCACACAGGTTCACTCTTCAGACTGTCAAAGTCCTTCAGGGTGGCATCCTTTCCCTTGAGAATGTCAGTGGCATTACCACAATTTACCCTAGAAGGAAAGGCTGAGCCAAAGGCTGTCACCAAAATAGTCTTCTTTTACATGTCAGTCTAGTTGAATGGTTTCAATCTGGCATTTTAAACAACTCATTTTAATTTCTGATGGCAAAATAATGTCAGATTTGTGCTAATCTGGATTTTGGACAAGTTTCAATTTAGCATTGATTTATATGTTTGTATAGACATATATTCCAAGCTAGAAATAAAGCAAAAACACCAAATGGCATAGCCTGAAATATTTCAACTGACTCTACCAACAATTCATTAAAAATCCCTCCTCCCATTTCAGTGCTGGCAGGGATGGCTCAGCCAGGCCATGCCACCCTGGGGCTGTGGGATGTGCCTGTGCAGCAGCTCCTGGCAGAGGTGGAGGTGCATGAACTGCACACATTGCAGGCATCCAGGCCAGCTGTCTGCTCCTGCCACAGACTCACTCCCAACATGTCCCCACAGGCATCCTGGGATCCTGGAGACACAAAGAGGAATTCTGTTTTTATCTGCCTTTAGTCTTAAGCAATATAGTCTGTAGACTATTGAGTACTTCAAAGGGAGTTTTAAATCATTTCTGTGGTCTTTAATCTTCCTTTTAGGGCTCCACCAGCTTTTAAACACTTTTATGTGTGGGACAGCATTGATTGCAGCCCCAGGCCATTCCTGCCTTGGACCACTGGGCAGTGCCCACTCTCCAGCTCCACTGCAGGCTTTGGAGAGGCTTTCACTGAATCCCTCACTGTCCCCAACAGCCAGACACACTGGGACACAGGCTGTGCTCTTTTTGGTGGCAGCAGTCTGACATCCATCAGGTTGCACAAGCCAATCAATAACACTGCAGCAAGGGCATCTGTCAGCAAATGCAAGCAAGCTTTAAATAAAGCAATGAAAGTCTTTCTAGGAAATCAGCACAGAGAGTAAACCCAATGCTGATAATTGTTCCCACTGGGAATGCTACAGGCAGTTTGACATCACAGCCCTCCTCCAACATGCTTAGCACCCTTTTTGCTTATTTTTTCCCCTAGAAATACATCAATCATCTGCATTGTGACATGTGACTGCTCTTCTGTAGGCACTGTCTCCCCTACACACAGGCACTCCCCTTCACCCAGACAGTGATGTTGAAGACAGCTTCTCAGAAGCCTGTCTTGCCCAAGAGTGACACAGAGGGCCAGCAGCTCCATCCATCATCTCCATCTCTGTGCTGTTGCATGGAGACTGGTTGTCCATGGTGGAGATACAGCCAAATTTAACCTGGCAAGCCAAAGCCAGGGCAATTGCTCACAAACCCTGCCCATGAAACGGGGAGCTGGGAGGGGGTCTGGCCCCCATACCTCATTTCACCTGGGGAGCTCAGGCTCTGCAGCTCTTGGCTAATTCTGAAGCAAATCCATGCTCTGTTCATGCCAGGAGACTAGTATTTTCCAACAGCCATTATTTAAATGCAAACTTTGTCCCTTAAATTATGTCTCCTAAGTGATGGCTGACTGCTTTATCATAGGAGATACTGAGCAAGTCCCAAACGTTGGTAATGACCAAATGCTCTTCTGATGAGCCCAAGCAGTTCCCTTAGCCATAATGTTATACACTGCATGGACAAACATCTCAGAGTGACAGGACAAGAGCACACAGGGCTCCTTCCCCAGCAAACAGCCACCTGCAGTGCCAGATACAGCCTCACATCCTCGTGTTATCTGCAAAAGAGCTCACCTCCCTTTACAGAAGATAATTGTTATTAAAGAGCATAATTTTTTAAATTTTTGGTTTTGGTGTTGGCAAGTGAACGAATATCCTTGAACCCACATCTTTCATGGAAGAGAAAAAGACACTGTGCATTATTCTTTTAATACTTTTGATAGAGACTGAAACAATTGTCAGCTGGAGAGACTGTGTGAAAATCATTATGATATTTATTTAAAATCATCACTGCTCCATTTCTGGTAGATATCTGATTTCTGTCAGAATAAACCATCTCAGAAACTCCTTTTTAAAGAGAGGTATATAAAACATGTGCAAAAAAAACATCACCTCTTGTTTTCTATATCCATCTACAAATTACACAATGTTCCCACTTGCTGCATATGGAAGAAATGAAATGTGAACAGAATGTTAGACAACAAAACACTTTATCTCTCATGGTGCTTCATGCTCTCCCAGAAGCCTGGAGGGAGGAAGCCCAGCAAGGTGAGATGGCTTGGCCAGAAGTAACAACAGTGGCTGAGCTAGAAATGCAATGCACACCATGTACCCAACCAGCCAACATCAGTGCAAAGAAACGTCACAAATTATAATGAATAATGTTAAATGCTAAGAAAATATTTGGGGGGCGGGGTGGGGTGGAGTACCTTTTCTTTTTTTTTCCCCTATCTAAACCATTTCCTATATTTCTCTTTCAGCTGTAAAAGAGTTAAAGGATACACCTGCACCAACATATCACAGAAGCATTTAGATTGAAAAAGACCCCTAAGATCATAGAGTCAAACAAATGAAACAATGGAGACACCACCCAAGGCAAGAGAGAGTGGAACTGTGTGAAGCAGGTAAAGAAGTCCATAAATTCATGCCTTATATTCTCAGTCACAACTGGAGTGCCTCAGTGCCAATACATGTTAATACACCTTCAACGTTTTATTTTCATGAACTAGTTAGCATTAAAAACATCTAGCTGAGTAACAGAACATCTTTAGTCACAGATACTCAATTTTGGCACATAGAAATGCTTTAATTTTCACTATAATAAAACTCAGACAATAGCCACATTGTGTTTCTGTGTACCAAAGCAATAAAATTCGAGCAACATGCTCTGGAAGCAAACCTGGCCTGGAGAAGATACACACTAATTACTGAAAGAATGTATATGTACAGTGTAGTTATTCTAAGACTGCATTTAAAAAAAATATTATTCAGTGAATTTTGTGACAGTGAATTTTCACAACACCCAGAAGACATCTCAG